CGTGAAGCATCTGGAGTACCCTTCATAAAAAGCATCACAGGAGAAGAAGTTATCAGCTGCTTAAGGCGCACTTCCAGGGTGATCCCATTAGGAATACCTTTCTCAGCAAGAACCTTACTGAGCTCTCCACTCTTTTGCATGTCCAACACAATATCAGATCCACCAATCAGTTCACCCTTTATGTACAGCTGAGGATAGCTGGACCAGTTTGAGTAAACTTTTAGGCCTTGACGGACTTCATCGTCAGTAAGGATGTCAAAGCTCTTAAAATCTATTTTCTCTTGTCTCAGAATATCAACAACTTTCCGGCTAAAACCACAACGCGGTGCATCTGGTTCCCCCTTCATAAAAAGCATAACTGGACTAGAATTAATTAAGCTATCCAAACGAGAGTTCAGGTCTGCACTCAAACCAGAGGCCTCAGAGATGCCACCCTTTCCCATTCCAGGTTCTGTTGCTTCTGCTTTAGAGGAATCAGATGCTTCAGTTCCATGATCCAACAAAACTTCTTTAAGTTCACCACTCTCATGCATAGCAGTTACAATGTCACAGCCACCGAGAAGCTCACCCTTACAGTAGAGTTGAGGATATGTTGGCCAGTTGGAGAACTTCTTCAATCCCTCACGAACCTCGTCATCCGTCAGAATATCAAAGCTTCCAAATTTGATCTTTTCTTTCTTCAAGATGTCGACTACTGTCCGGCTAAAACCACATCTAGGTTCCTCAGGGCTTCCTTTCATAAAGAGCATTACTGGATGAGAATTCACAAGCTGTTCTAATCGCAATTTAAGCCCATTTCCAGTGCCAGGTGAATGGCTTTCCACTTTAGAATTGTCTTTAGCAAAATCCTTGACTGTTTCAAGGATTGCTGGCCCTGCAGCCATACCTAAACTAGCAGGAGCTGCAGGTTCGTCAGCAGTGACAGATCCAGCAACTTTAGCAACCTTGTTAGCTAAAGCTGAGGGGTCAGCACCTTCCAGGGTATCCACACTCTTACCATCCTAAAAGCACCAAAAAGGAACAAACTTACACATGAAAGGCTCGAAAATAAGACACATAACATTCCCAGATACATTCTTAAATTAAGTTAAAAACTCCAGAAGGAGCAAAACACAACGGACTGCAGAAAAAAGCTGAACGCTCTTGAGAAGTAGAATTACAACTTGAAATTACCTTAAAGAAGACAAAGTAAGGCACAGCAGCAACTGAATATGCCTCAGAAATCTCTGGTTGTTCTTCAGCTTCAACCTGTAGTGACACAGAGGAAGTGATGAACAATGAATTAATAGAGAGTAGTGCACTTCTCAAGAAAGGTCAACACTATACAAAATCAAAGTGTACAGCAGATAGCAAATCCCAAAATACTGTCCTTTCCTCAAGTCTAATATTCACCCAGACAAAGAGCCTTCAGACCACAAAACCCAAGAAGTTAAAAAGCAAGAACAGAGAAAGGGTTAACCTTCAAATCATCAGTATTTTCCAAATCTTAGAGGTGTAAACCTCAGGCAGTTTGTAAAAAAGTTAAATAGCTCAAAATTACACAATGTGGAATGGAGTGCATAAATAACACCTTGAGGATCATAGTTTGTCGTTTCAATTTCACTCAAACCATTTCCTGCTCCTATCACTAGTGATAACAGGTAACTAGTTTTATTCCAAACCCAGTACGGATTCTTGTTTCTACAATGTTTACAATTAAATTATGAGGAGCAAGGCAGGGAACCAACTACATAATCATGTAGCCAATAGACGCAGATAATTAAACTCCTATCTCAATTCTACCTGCTTCCTAGGACACTGGATTACATGATTCTGTTACCCTATTTCTTATTCCAGCTTTCCATATCCCTACTGTCTATGTATTCTCTTACCGGCTCATGCATCGTACATTGGTGCCAAGTGCCAAGACTACCTCCCCACAAACAAAAATGATGGATAATGATTCAACCTATTTCCAGTTAAGTCCTTGTCATCCTCATAAGAAAATTGGGACACAATTATAGTTCAAAAATTCTGGAAAGATAAATGCTCAGAAAGGATTCCTAGCTCACCATGGGAGCATATTTTATACACAAAAGGCACAAAAAGATGAGAAAGCAACATGAGTTACTAAAGCTTATGATAGTTTGGCAGAAGAACGGGAAGGAATGCGGAAGAGGATTGGAATCCCTTATAAAGGCAGAGTTCCTTCAATCTTCAGCTACCTAAATGAAGAGAAACTTTTTCCAATTACAATGTTTGCTCTATACAAGCATAAAAAATTAAGACCTTACACTTTCTACCTAATCATCATTTGACTTTTTCCATTTTTTGGGGTATTTCATTAAAGGAAAAAAGTTAATTTCCTTTTTGATAAGGATGTTACTATTCAACCAGGTCAGCCCTTTTCAAAATCGTCAAAAGACAAAACAAAATCAAGCTACCAGTTGGGATCAGCTTTACCCTTCTGATATCTTGATTTCCTTCCACCAACTACCATAAAAGGTAATAAAACCCTGACTGAAGATTGTTAGACTTATTACGTGCAAGTTGGAATCATCACTAGATTTCTAATGTGGCATTTTCTGACCCATTAAAAAGAGTCGTTAACCAGTTCTGCTTCCAGACTAACACTTTGACAGAAATAGATAATGATTGCTGCTTGTCCAATACACATTTCCTTTGCCCACAAAGAATCACTGCCTCAGCCCAACAAGATATCTCATTTACCTTGTACACCCAACTTCTAATTTGACTCCTATATACATTAAGCTATTAAAAATATTCCTTTTATCAATCACATCTACACCATTATCAAATTTTTTTCTTCTGACATATTCCTCTGGCATCAAGGACCCATTTTTCTCAAAATTTACATACTCCCATTAGGCTTCACAAGTTTAATTAATTATAACATATGAACTATAATAAGCGCATAATGATAATAAAACCCTCAACCTCTATTCCTCCCAAATTTAAGAAACAAGAAAGCAGCATAACAGCAAAATAAATAAATAAATAAATAAATAAAAGAGTTAAAAAAATGTCCAAGATGAAAGAAAATTCATCGACTAAATCAACTAAAACATAGTTGCAATAGGGATGCAATTAAGAATGGATAAGGATATCAAAAAATATCATTATAACGAGAGAGAGAGAGAAAAGGGGAAAAGGGTTTACTCTGAAGAAGCGGGCATGAGGGAAATCAGTGGAAAGATGAGAAAAGACTTGGTCCATCTGCTTAGAAGCTTCACACCATGATGCCCAGAAGTGTAAAATCACCGTTGTCTTCTCTACCAATGTCTTCTCCAGCTCGGCTTTCGATTTCAATTCCTTCACCGACCCTCCTCCCATTTTCTTTTCACTTTCCCTCCTCTCTGGCTACTCTCTCGTTGTCTCTCCCAATCTCGCCGAAGCAAAATTCTCAAAGCAGGCAGGAGTCAGCGAGTCTGCGCAGGGTCCCGTCCTGTGGCTATATATGGCCTGCGGTTTTCGCTATTTTCTGGGTTTTTCCTTTTTTCTTTTCCTACCAATTTTTTTTGGTATAAACCTTCTTTTTCCTTTCTTGGCCTTGCTTTTTAAAGTCTTTTTCACTCTTTTATTAGAGCATCGTGTGCTTTTTCCTTTTGTTTGTTTGTTTGTTTGTTTGTTTGTGATTTCCTTGGCTGGTGCAAAATTTGATCTTTGAACAAAGCACAAAGATTTCGAGAATGAAATTTTCCAAACGTATTTTAGCTTGTAAGAAAAGAAATTCAATGTTTAAATTATTATGAACAAAATAATGTTCAAACTATAAACTAGAACTACTTTTCATTCATATTCTATAATTTATTTTAATGACTTCTAACTTGTTTAAAGGTGCATGAAGGTTTTTTTTTTTGTTGTTATAACGGCACATCTAATCTAGCCTAACTTATTCCTATTCCTACACTGGAGGAATCCTATTCTAAGGGGTGGTTCAACTGAGTCGAGGAAATCTGACGGAGATCGAAAGTACACCACGCACTCATATGGATTTAAAATAATTTTTATATAAAAACACATTGTTGGAAAACAATATTTAAACTTTTGATTTCTCACCTCATAATTAATGTGGGAGGCAAGGTGCATGAAAGTTTGTGAAAAATAATTTTCATTTATCATCACGTGCATGAAGTAATCACATTCTAAACTATCCCCTCGTAATATTTGAGGACCATGAAAGACAATTTCATTAAAGTTGCGGAACCATGATTTCATATTCTTGAGCATTTTTTTTGTGTGGGGGGGGGGGGGGGGGGGGGGGTTTGGGGAGAGTATTTAAGAGCTACATAACTGAGCGAAAAAATCCCGTATTAAAAAAAAGTTTAAAATTATGGAAAAAATTGAGATTTTTAAAGGGGTGACTAAATTTGAACATTGAACTGGCTCCTTTGAGTTCTATGGATTAAAATGTAAGGACTAGGAAACATACATTATTATTCACTAAATTGTATAACTCTCCTATGTTGGCAGTCCCATATTATGAAAATACTAAACATACAAATTTTTAGAATCAAGCAATTTACAAAATCTGGGATCAAATAGATGAAACTCGTTAGTTTTTTTTTTTGGGTTGAACTTGGGATAGTGAAACCGCTGGTGAAATTAATGATAAATAGCTCTCACATGAAGTATGCTCGTGAATCAGAGAGGATTGATTGGCTCCTCGTGAAAATTGAAAAAAAAACAAAGGCAAATATGGTAGATAAGGACCATCGGGTCCAGCGAATATCTTGTTCATTGGCAATTAGCATGGTGCGAAATTTGTGGTGGATGAGAAACTTTGTAGTCTTTCAAAAGAAAATAAAAGCAAGCAAGAAAGTAACAGAATCGACTTCAGTCTTTTAGAGTGAAAACAAAGCATAGATGATAGACGAGACCCTCTTCTGCTTTTGCCATACTTTCCAGCTAGTAGCATGTCCAGCGGCTGAACGTCTATTTTTTCTGATTGAAATGAGCTTTAGGGGTTTATTCATTTGCTGTTCCTTGAAACCAGAGTAATGAATAGTGCTAGAACATGTATGGCATCTGCATTAATTTTCCAATCCACAAAACAAAAAGCTGTTGAGGATTCACTTTTTATCTCTTGCAATCACAGACGTGCAGCGACTGACTTTGTATTTTTGTGGCCAATCAGGGATCAAATCCAAGCTGAAGACATTAGACATGACATCGCCGTGGATCCCATTGTATATGGCTGCAAGCCAGATGGTAAAGGCCAGGCAAGAGGAAGAGGTGATATATAGATTAGATTCCCAATCAGGGACTTGGGAGTTGGGGGCCTGTGGTGTGGGGGCATTTTTAGATTCTTCGCCTTTGCTTAATAATCATACAATAGTGATTTGAGAATTGATCCTATATGACTATACTTGTTTGAGTTTTTTTTTTTTTTTTTTAAAAATAGGTTCTGTGTGAGTTTGATAAAATTGAGGTGTGAAATCTGAATCTATTAAATTATTGAATTGTTGAACATTAAATATAATACATTTGAATATATATCACATCCGCTAATAAGTGAATAACTTATGGTTTAATTTTGAAAACTAGTTTTGTCCAGGAAATTCAGTGCCACTTAATTAATTCAAATATTCAATTTTTAATTATCAAATGATTTGAATATGTTAAAATATGAATCCACTAACTTTAAATGTGTGAACTGGATTATCATATATGACTTGACTAGTTTCAACTTTAAACTGAGTTATCATGACTTTGAATTCCTTTTCTGATTGAGCCAAGATAGAGAACCATATATATATATATATATACTGTACACAGTCTAATTGACGAGATAATTTGGACGTACTTCACAAGGAGAATGATGATAGTTGTACACATACATCAATTCTCTTCAAAGAATTTGAGGAACTCCAGAGCAAGATATCCATCCATAAGCACTTATGGCGTGACAGATAAACATGAACAACAGAATTGAACCAACTCGAAATGCATGACATGTTGCTTTCTGTTTTATGCAACTTATTTTGTACCACTTTCTCAGGAAAATGCCATGCACTCAAGAAACTGTTCAAGTCTCCTGCTATAAATATGTGCATGTAATGTAACATACAGACCAAAATGTATAATAATAATAAAAACAAAAGTGTTAATCAAATCAGTAAATATAGCTTAACGTCCTCTAAATTCTGAAAATGGCAGCGTGTACTTGGGCTTACGTAGCCTTTACGGTTATGCTGAGCTTATCAGTGTCCTCTGCTCACAGAGCCAATTTGGTCACTGGTGATCATGAACCCAAGGTGCGTGCACTAGGTGGCTGGGGTGAGCCATACTATGGCGGAGGTAGCGATGGTGGGTGCCAATACGGTGCTTGGGCTGGCTGTGGTTATGGACAAGGCAGCGGAAGTGGTAGTGGCGGAGGAGGTGGCGGTGGCGGCGGCGGTGGCGGTGGCGGTGGTGGTGGTGGTGGAGGTTCTGGAGGCATGCCTGGTTATGGTGGCCCGGGAAATGGTGGCGGTGGCGGAGGCGGAGGCGGCTCGGGTCCTGGAGGCATGCCCGGTTACGGTGGCCCTGGCAATGGTGGAAATGGAGGTGGCGGCGGTGGCTCAGGATGGACGCCTGGTTACGGTGGCCCTGGGTACGGGAATGGAAATGGAGGCGGTGGTGGAGGCGGTGGAGGACCTTATCAGTGTGTGCCACATCCAAGTTGCCACAATTGTCACCCTTTTACTCTATACACCAATCATCATCATCTTCCTCCCGGTACCGGTGCTACTGGGCCAAACAACAACAAAGCAGCAGACGAACCTTCTGCTGCCTTGGCTCCTGAATCCGATTAGGCTAGCCGTAAATGGCAACGCCTTAATATCCGCCACATAAAACTTAAAAGAGGGTCTACCTGTCTAGATGATTTGTTATCTCCATAAATGAGAACTGAATCTGGACAGATTCAGCGATATTTATACTTCAAAAGTAATGTTCAATCAATTATCTACTGATCGAGTATCAGCAAAAGTTGCTAGCTTCAATTCTGCTAATGCGGAGGTAAATAAGCACAAACATTTGGGATGAGCTTCGATTCTGCATCTATTGCACCTTAGATTTATCTCTAACAAACAAATACTCCGCATTTGTCGATTCAAAACATGAACAACTCGACAATTCATCTCTTCCCAGCCAAGACATAAAATACAAGGTTGCAACTATTAATATCATCAAAATAGAACTACAAATCCTAATACAAACAGCAATAATTCATCGTCTTATGATGGGAATGACACAAACGTGTTTCCATGTACTCTACCAATTGTCAGCGTATTTATATAGACATTGTTTTAAATAAAAGTGGAATACACCTTGAACCATGTTCATGTCACGTTATAAACTTGTATACTATTACTATATCACCATCATTTGAGAGATGAATTAAAGATGTTCTATTAGTATTCTGTACTTTAATTACTATTCTAAACAAGGTCTAATTTTGCACTAAGGTCACTTTGTATTTAGTAAGAAAAGAAGACCTCTATACTTATTCTTTAATTTGGACAATACGATGAGACAATTTTTAAATTTTTTTTTCTAGGAGAGAAAAATAGAATTTAAGAAACGGAGATGGAGAAATGGGATTTAAATTTCAGGACCTCTAACTCTTGAAATCTTAAACATTCAAATGCACATGCATCGGTATAAGCTAATGCAACCACTTCAAAGGAGGGGCAAAAAAATTGCATTTCATAAATGGGATGGAAGAACATTCACTTTATATAAGCAACTGTGCAACCGTAATTCATAGGACTTTCCTGCTCAAACTTGGCAACACGTGGATGGTTTTTCAGAATCTGTAATGCTCGCTCCTTCACCACCCCAGTGCCCATCCCATGTATGACAAAAAGAACAGAACCTGGTCCTCTTGAATTGAGGGCCATCTCAAGGTAGTGAGCAGCTTCCTCAGATCGCATACCTCGTAAGTCCACTGTATTCTTGGATGTTTGAAACACAGGTCCATAGGAAACCTCCTCACTATTGCTCATTTTGGAGAAGCTCCTAAGGCTCTTGAGGTTTCTCAAAACTCCCTACAATGTCAACAGGTACACCCACTGCCATCAGATTTAGTAGTGTATGCTCCAACACATTGTTGATCATTTTAATCTCAAAATTAATGCAGGATAGAGAATTGCAACATTCAACTAATAAGTACAATGCAGATCAATCAATTACACCTGAAGGAATATGATGTAACTGAAGTTATATCCACAATGAAAATCTCAAACCAAAAGACAATTCTTTAAATGTCTAATCACTTTTAGTACCCGATAGTTGGATTTTGCACCAATTCAGTCCCTCAGGTTCCATAAGAAGCACGTTTAATCTCTCAGCTTTCCAATATAGAACGATTAGTTAACATAAAGTAGCAAATCATAATTAGGTGAAGCATGCAAGGATGTTTAACTGTTGGCTTTGGAGGTAAACAAACATTACAGGGCAATATCTGTTCCAGCCGATGGTTAAAAGCATCAGCTGGTCTATTTAAATATAGATGCCTTTCCACAAAGCAGTAGCAGGTATTGTTTGTTGATTTGCTTCAAAAATGGAGAGCATTGTGCTATGAAAAATACAAAAAAACATTTAGGCAATTGTGTAGAAAATGCCTATTTTCTTCTGTTTAACTGATGCAGAGAGCTGATGTCCACATGCAGTCCTAGTTTCCTCTCGTAAGTAATATCCAATTTCAGATCAACTGTCCATGATATGTCCAAATTGAGAAATTAATGAAGACGTGTGTTCCCAAAGGCTGACTGACCCAAAAAAAAAACGATAATCCTCTAATAAAGTAGCATTGTAAAAAAAATGCTGAAAATTTTGTAACATCATGCCTAAGGACAATATATTAAGAACTTTGGAAAATCGCCAATAATTAACAAATTTGATGTTACTCCTCATACCTGATTAGAAGCTGTTCCACCACTAATATCCGCATTTGCAAGAGCTCCTACACTGTTTTTATTCACACGTACTCTGACTTTTCCATGTTGGACGAGGACCATGTCATCATCTCCAGGTGCTTCAATTACAGTAGCCAACTTTTTCCCAAGTCCCTTGACATACACTTGCTCACCAGGCTGTGGTACATACAACCTACCGTCCGAATTCCCAATAGAAAGACCATCAGTAGGCTGATGAGTTTCAACAATGGATGCAATTGCAGATTCTGCTTTCTTCAGCAGCAGATTGTACTTATCTGCATCAGCATTTTTAAGTTGGTTCTCAAATTCATGCACTATATCTTCAATTTCTTTCTTCACTGCCTTCAATTCCTGTTGGATCTGTTGGGTTTCCTTTGTCTTAAGAGTTGCCTCGCGCCCTTCAAGGTCATCTGCTGCATTTCTTATCTTCAATTTAGGAAGGAAAAATGGAGTAAACAGAAACTTATGAAGCAAAAGAGGGTGCAAACTGTGACGTAACAAAGAAGAGTATTCACCGCTTTCCACCTATCTAAAAATTGAAGTGAAACAAAAGGGGAAAATACTCCTGTACATTATATGATGTACTCACCTATATGTTATAGCACGTAGTGCATCAATAAAACACATGCACATAAATGGATGCATGTATAGGTTGAGAAATTGAAATAAAGAATGATAGATATCATGGGCAACAGAAGTTGCCAAGAGAAGAGAAAAGCCATTCCTTGCCCACCAATACAAGTAAACATGTTATGCTAGTGTTATATGCAGGCACTTTAGCTTTTTGTGCAACTTATGTGACGATAAACATGAATGAAGGAAGCAGGGTATATATGGTAATCAAGGACAGCAATAAAATAGGAGAAAAACATTTTCATTGCATATTGTCTCATAACAAGTATCTCTTTTCTCAAAGATTAAATATTTACAATCGTGCAACTTACATACCTCATAATAAATGCTCATAACATCCAAGTGAAGAGATGCAGCTTTATTTGCTTGAATTTCTAATCTGTTTCTTTCTTCCATTAGTGACTGGTACAGCAAACCTTTCTGCATCTGCACCTTCTCTGGGGTCAACTTGTTTATCCATGCTTGGGCACGGTTAATTATCTTCTCATCAAAGCCAATTCTTTCAGCAACGCTTATGGCATTGGATTCTCCTGCGCTTCCCCAAAGCATCCGATAGGTAGGCTGTAATGTCTCCAGGGAAAACTCCATTGCAGCATTTTCGAACCTACTATCTTTACCTTTGAGTTGAGTCAAGTCAGCATAATGGGTAGTGACAACAGCTAACTTGACCCGATCAACAATATATTTTAAAATGCTGGCAGAGAGAGCTACACCTTCCGAAGGATCAGTCCCACTTCCAATTTCATCAATAAGGACCAGAGACTTTCTGGATGCAGTTTCCAAAATTTTACAAAGCCTTGAAATGTGCCCACTAAAAGTTGAGAGACTTTGTTCAAGCGACTTCAACCAAATATGAAAAATGCGAAGCCATTAAACAGAGACAAGGAATAAAATCGAGAAGAGATATAAAACTATAAAGGGCCAGAAAGAATCTACTACCTGATGATCTCCAATATCTGCCAGAATCAAATCAAACCACGGCAGCTGCGGATTGTCCTGAGCAGGCAAATACATGCCAGCTTTTGACATAACGGAAGCTAGTCCTAGAGTTTTCATGGATGCAGTTTTGCCACCCGTATTAGGTCCCGAAATTACGACGACTTTTATATTATACCCAATCTTGATATCAACAGGAACAGGAGAAACTGTTTTGGAATTGAAGAAGTCATTCCTTTGATACAATTTAGCTGAGTTTCTGGATTCAGATGGAACAAGGTCAGACAATTTTGTCAAAAAGGGTGCTAGCAGCAAAGGATGTTGTATGCCTCGAATGTCTACTAATAAAGAACTCAATCCAGATTTCCCAAAACTTTCTGAACTTAGAACTGGACAAACCCCATTGATCCATTTCGCATGAGCAGCTCTAGCGAATGCAAGATCTAAATCCAATATTCTGTCCAGTAAATACTTTATCTCTGAATTTGATTGCACAATCTCAGATGTTAGTAGGCTTAAGATCACACGTTCCTCGAGCTTCTCCTCATCTAATAGCCTCACTTCTTCATTGTTCAAGTTAATGGCCTCCTTAGGCTCCATGAAATATGTTGCTCCTGAGCTGCTAACATTTAGAACAACGCCATCTGGGAGCAGCGACCTATGGGAAGCTCTAACTGCCACACACATCCTTGATCGACGTTTGGTAACCAATGGTTTGTCAATTCCACCAGCCTGAAACATCTGGGTTGCTGTTTGCTTCAGCATGGATTCCAGATTGTCCATATTCCTCTTCCTTTCTGACCTAATAAGCTCCAACTCCTCACTAGCTCTGTCAAGCACTACTGAAAATTTACAATCGATACAGAAATCTATTTTTTCCTCCAACTGCACCAGGAAATTGACACTTTGAAGGACATCAAGAAGAGGAGAGCACCTGTTTGAATACAAGGAGAGATAGAATCCTATGAGTCCGTCCCATAGCTGTTAAAATTAATATGCAGCAGCTTCTACATCACTTATGTTAAAGAACAATGAATTGCTATAACTATCACTTCCACTCCCACTTTTACAACTCCTCCAGAAACCTATTTTAGAGCCCTACCCAAGCCATGATGACAATCCATCCATAGGATGTACATGCATTCCCTCGACGATGTCAAACTGCCATACAAAAAGCAATAGCTATTTAGACATGCAACAAAAACATGCCCACATATAAGCATACTAAGATCATAGCAAGATGAGTTTACAGCTTTCAACCATTGTTGTTACTAGATTTGAAGATAAACCCGCACTCCTCCAGA